CTCAGAAAATACCTCTTTTCTGTGCTCCAAATATCCCCAATTCGTTGCTTAATTCTCTCTTTCAATCGTTCCATATATATAGAAATCCTAAAACCAAAAACATACTAGGAATTCTAAAAATAAAAACAAAACAGATTAGGAATCCTAATAACATGTTACCAAAACAGATTTGGAATCATGTTACCAAAACAGATTAGAAATCCCAATAACCTGTTACCAAAACAAATTAGAAAACATATTAGGAACCTGCTATCAACAATTCTCCACCTCGGCGAAGTTTTTCTAAAACTGAACCGATGCTAATACCAACCAAACGTCTCACTTGTTACGTCCAGTACGAAGTGGAACAAATCCATGATAACGGACTCAATCCACAACAAATTAAGAACTCAAACGAGAATGCGAACAAACTTCAAATGTCGGTATCAACTCACCAAACCGGCTGCATCATAAATGACTACCTACATATCCTCTTGCCCAAGGAATCAAGCATTCACGTAGTTCACCAAATGGCCTTCAAAGACCCTCAATCCAATAGAAGAGTTCTCAACTCTTCACCAACAAATCTGCAACCGATAACTCTCCCAATGGCCCCAAAGTGAAACAAATTAAACACCTCCACCTGAGGTGAATCAACGGTCATATCCAAATCCAAACTATATCCACTAACTGCACTCGAATCAACCAACTCATCATTTGCATCTAAATCCAAATGATCCCTAAACTGTGTCATCTCAACTGGAATCCCAAACGATACAGTATGATCTGGAGTATGTGGAGTAATCTTCACCCAACGTGAAATAGCATCATCATCCACCCGCTGTGATATCCTAATGATCTGATCAACACTCTTCACCTACCGAGAGTCAAATGTGATATATCTGCTCAGAACAAAATCAGAGTCTCCCAACTGATAACCAAACGAGCCTCTGAATCCCAAATGTGCAATCGGATCAAATCTCACATCCTCAATATGATCAAATACTGGACAACCAAACATCCGCTGCAACCCAAAATCTAAAGTAGCTCCACCAGATCCAATAACTCTAAACGCGACAGTCGGCAACCTATGACTAAGATGATCCCAATATGTCGAAGCTCCAAAACTCCTCTGCAATCCAATGCTCGACAACAAACATCGATCCTCCTCCAGTAAAGAACGATCCATCAAAACTGTCATCTCATCTCGTCGCTCAATGTCTCCTCTTCAATGAAGTGTCTCAAACTGCCGTAAGATTGGTACAAATGTAAGAAAGAACCCTTACAAAAAATAAAACGACGGGTTACCTTTCTGCCAACACACTTCATCCATCTGTTGTTGACTTCTAAGACTTCAAACTAACGGGACTTGGTTGCAACCCACTAATACCCTAAAACATTCCCTAACTGCGGAAACTAAATACATATTACCTCCCAACAATGGCTCCTTAGAAAGCCCCCAAATGCCTGAATGAACACCACCTAAAAGACTCCTCGATCGATGGATAGAAGTACCAAACTCCACCTCAGCCTTTTTGCTCATACCAATGTGCTCAAAGAACTTTAATCTGCAGGTCAAAACACTCTTCAACAAACCATGCACAACATAACCAATCAAATATCTCAGCCTCCACAAATGCCACAGTCTAGCTAAATCCAAAAAAGTCGTCAGTTCTCTACCAATCATCGTGCTCCCAATCAAATAGTACAAATTCTTCCTCCTGACGCTCCGCTCTTCATCACAATCATGGACCCAAATATGACCTTTAAACATGCATCATGTAAGGTCACCTTATAGCATGCTGCCTCCAAAACTCCAAGTGAAATGATATTCTTCTTCAACTAAGGAACGAATCTCACTTCATCCAACTCCCGAATCACTCCGTCATACATCCTTATACGAACTATCGATACCACCAATAGGACATTCATGATCATTACCCATGAGCACGACATCCCCTATTTCCAACTCCTGAAAGCTGGAGAACCAATCCCTCTTAGGACAAATATAGTAAAAAACACCCGAATCCAATATTCACTCTGTAAAGTCGACAACACAAACTGACGGTAGTGCTAATGAATAGCCCGAAAAATCCGAATCTGAATTGTCGCCACTAGCCTTGACAACATTCACCTCTGAAGCTTGAATAGTTTTCCCCTTATTTTTCCCGGGTCGATCAACCAACTTTAGGCATTCGGCTTTTCAATGTCCATCATCTTTACAAAAGGCACACTGATTCCTATGAACTCCAGGATGTACCCCTCTAGACTGCGACCTCCTATTTGGGTTTGGACTATTTGCTCTTGCGACCAATACCCCTGCTACCAGCTCAACTAAAGTTTTATCCTTCTTTCGAAGCTGATAATTCACAAGTGCAGCGATGACCTCACTATACAAAATAGATGCATTCTCATTAATAAGAGTAAGAACGAATCTCTCATATTTCTCGTCGGGTAAGAAACTCATAATAACACATTGTCCTCATCTTCAATCATCACATCTATATTCGTCAAATCATTAAGAATTTTTGTGTAATGTTTCATGTGATCACGAATGGAGGTTCCTTTCTTCAATTGAAAACAATAAAGCATCATCTTTAAATACAAGCGGTTCTCTACACTATTGGTCAAATATTTGCTCTTAATGATCTCCCAAATCTTTTTAGCTGAAATCTTATTGATCACATCATATTTTAAATCTTGAGTCAAACAAAGATCTAATCACACCACACGTCGTTCTATTCATCTTTTTCTAAACTTTCTCCTCAATATCGTCCGGTTTCTCATTCAACTTCAAAGTGTCTTCCAAATTTTGCGCGTTGAGCGCATCCAAGATTTTACATCTCCAAAGATCAAAATTATTTGTGTCATTAAACTTTTCCACATCTATTTTCATAGTGGATATTCAAACTTTGGACGGTCTTCACGCCGGAAGTACCCTCCGCAACTCCTTTCTAGACCATCTTTCAAAAAAGCACCAACAAACCAAAACGGAACAAACGAAGAATAGATCCAAAATTAAAAAAGATAGTCTTTACCAAAAAGATCACATATTTATCACCAAACGAAATCCTAGACGAACCTCCAAAACGATCTACTCATCCAAATAGCCCAAGCGTAGCCCGAACTCTGATACCACTTGTTGTGCGTGGCAGAAGTCAAAACCAAACTGATGTGCTTCGAGAGACCAAATCAAACAAACACCGAGAGAAGACCAAACACAATCAAAATAACGGCACGAACACAAACAACCAATTTTAACGTGGTTCGACAAGTTGTCTACATCCACGGGACAAGAAAAGGATGGGGTTTTCACTAATAGAGAAGAAGAGTATAAACTGAGATTTCAAATCACTCGAACTCACTAATTAATCTCACCAACAAATCTCTAATTCTCTCCAAATAAAACATTAACCAATAGCTCAGAAAATACATCTTTTCTGTGCTCCAAATATCACCAATTCGCTGCTCAATTCTCTCTTCCAATCGTTCCATATATAGAAATCCTAAAACCAAAAACATACTAGTAATTCTAAAACCAAAGACAAAACAGATTAGGAATCCTAATAACCTATTATCAAAACAAATTTGGAATCATGTTACCAAAACAGATTAGGAATCCCAATAACTTATTACCAAAACAAATTAGGAAATATATTAGGAACCTGCTATCCAACACCATATTTATCTAAAGAAACTCCATACACCAATGGGATTCTCATGCAACCACGTTCCTAGGAATGTTGGAATATGGGTTCTGAAGTTTCGGAGGAGTCATCTAACTGTTCCTCTTCAATGGATTCAGGTTTATATAGAATACCAGACTAGTATATGATTACGTGATTAAAACATGACTTTTGGGATACCATAACCAGCTTCAAGTAAAAAACAAAAGAATAACTGAACATGACTTGTGTCTGGGTTTCATAACTATATATTACATAACACTAGTAATATGTGATTGCGATACTCATCCAATAAAGACTGTAATTAGAAACAAAGCATGCACTAGTTCTGGAAGCTATAAAAATGTATCTAAACAACTCAAAGATTCTTTCTGATGCTGACAGCTTTAGATATAGAAAAAGAGGACAAGTACACTGTTTTTGTGATCATTATCAAAATCAATTCTAAACAACGACGGACAACCAACTCAAAGAAAGAGAAACCTTATGGCTAGCCTCAGGGAAGGAAGAGAGATTTAACCAGAAAAATATTGTCTGATGTATATTGTCTAGAAGGAAGCCAGAAGTGGTGATAACAAATTTGACGACTATATTAAGAAACATTGGACTAAGCAGACTAATGTAACTAATCAAATGAATGTTGTTTGAGAACCTTATGATATGATATCAATTTAAGGGGGGTCGACCAAAGCAAAAAAACAAACAAATTCCACTTTTCATGTCCCCAAAAATGGTCTGGGCAACAGCCCTAAAATCACACTACATATAGAATAAACCAGAGCCTTCTTCAGAAGAACAATAATTACTAACCAAAGCATCATACCAAAATTGTAGTTAGAAGCAGTTTAATGATGCCTTTACAACACATGTTACAATAATTCCAAAGAAATTTGCAAAGAGATGCACAAAATACACATCAAACATAAATTCAATAGTCCAAAGCAATAATTCCAAAGAAATTTGCAAAGAGATGCACAAAATACACATCAAACATAAATTCAATAGTCCAAATAAGTGTGCTAAAGAAAATAGATGCACAAAATACACATCAAACATAAATTCAATAGTCCAAATAAGTGTGCTAAAGAAAATAGAAAAAATAACTCAAAGCATAGAATGCAATCACAGAAGACATATAAAGACTCTACAATTGTTCTAAATTGCCAATATTATGAATAATACATGTACTCCACAGAAGCTCAGACAAAAATCATAACATGTCATTACTGGAATTCAACAACCATCAACTCCTTGTTATGCAATTAAAAATAGATCAATAGCGGACAAGAACAAAGCATCAAAGAAATTAAGCCATTCAAGCAGGCGTGTAATTACCAGCTTCCTGTTGGCAGGATGGTTAAATTTGCAAGTCATTCCAAACCTGCAAAGGCCAGTTCTAACAAAATAAGCACAATCTGGCTCCCCTGGACGATCAGGATAAGGTCCAGCATCCATTTCCTCCCTGCATCTTATATTCATTTGCCATATCACCTCTGTGACACAGCCACAATTATCTCAGCTAGATTTCATTCACTTCCATGAAAACTCAGCAAAAATTTGCAATTGAATAAAGAACCAGAAATTTTTCCACAACATGATCAATGAGTAACCAAAGAAATTATTTGATCACAAGACAATGATGTTATTTTAAAAACAGAATGAAACAGTATAAAGGAGAAGAAAATGATGTTCACAAGCAAAAAACCTTCCTTTTGTAATAAAATAGTAACATTAATCGCACTGAAACATCATAACTACTAGATTTCTCAAATTGGTAACAAACAAAATGAAAGATAACCACCATACTAGAACCTTTTATTTCTTACATATCTACAAGATGACTAATGAGTAACCAAAGAAATTATTTGATCACAAGACAATGGTGACAATTTAAAGTCAGAATGGAACAGTCTAAAGGCAAAGAAAATGAATGTTCAAGTGCAAAAACCTTCCTTTTGCTCAAAAAAAGTAACATTAATCACACTCAAACATCATAACCAGTAAATTCCTCAAAATAGGCATAAAAAATGAAAGATCACCATCAGAACTTGAAGATCAATCTGAAGCCAGAGAACTCATTAGTAACCAAGATAGAATACTAATAATCAACGAAGTAACCAAAATATTACCGTTATGAAAAAATTGATATTCCCACATCTAACAAATTTCACTGGTAATATTAAGAAATAAAAGCTTCCAAATTCAGAAAAGGAAAAAAAGAAAAATTAAATAACCCACCACCAGTGAAGTAAAATCAAGAAAAAGTTGCCAATTTTACCACCTAATCCCAAAAAAAACCTCAAAAAGAGAGACTAAAGATCAAACAAGAAACCAACATTTACCAATGAAAGATCCAGAATTCAAGAGAAAGCAACCAAAAAGTCATCAACGTTCATAAATTCAACAATGTATACAGTACTAGTGTAGATCGAACGAAAATAGCACAAACAAAAACCCTAAATGGTTTTTCTCACCTTCATTGAGCTCGGGCGCAACGGCCGACGAAACGATCCCTCGTTAGCTAGAGAACGGCCGCCGCCCACACAAGAGACTTAGCGCCTGAGCTATAGCCATCACTGATCGGGCCAGCCGCGGAAGCGTCAGCAACGGTACTCCCATTCTCCGGCGACGAGGGAGGAGAGAGAAAGTGAAGGAGAGGAGAGAGGAAGTGAGAGGAAGCGATGAGAGAGAGAGATAGAGAAAGAAGAAGAAGAGCACTCTTCTCCACAAACTTAAAAGAGAGAATAAAAAAACCACCCGTGTTTGCTTTATAGAGCATATTTCACATAAACCCCTCTGAATTTGCAGTATTAGAAACTTGCTAGTTATCACTTAAATACCTTACAATTCACTCTATTGCGCATTTGGGTATATTAGAAACATTTATACTCCTAAAATTTTCAAATGCGGAGTTCCTTTTTCCAAGAACCAAATTAAAAATAGAATAATTATATGTAAACCACCTTTTAATTTTAATTCATATATAAATAATTTTTAAAATAGATTTTTATTGCAATTAACTACCTCTCAATTAAATTTTTTACTAAAAATTCAAAATTATCTTTAAAAAACTCATATTTGAGGCATGTGACTAATATTTTAGTGTTTCGGTCCTTTTAGTATACAACACACATACCTTGAACTTGATTTTTTAAACCTTATTTTTAGTCTGTTAGTAAATTTGTTGACTAGGATGTGGTTGATTACAAATAAAAAACCACTTTAAAGGTAATTTATTTTTAAATTAAAACTGGAAGTTAATTTTTGTATAATTACCTAGTTTTAAGGTGGTTTCTAGAAAAATAAACCCTTTTATTTGCCACATTATTACCTTTTGTCATGCAAATGAGAGAAAATCTATCTGTATATTTTTTGTGATACTCGCATGTTAATTCTAGAATTTTTATTTTAAAGTTCAAGTAGGATAAGTTTAAAATATAATTCATATAGGTTTAATAATAAATTCAATAAATATTCAACACAAAGTGTTTTAAAATGACCATTGAATTTCACATTCACTATTAGGAGAATGTTGACATCTGCACGCAAAATTACTAAAGTGTTATTTTTAAAATTTCAGAATTTATAAACGTTATGAAGAAAACAAGTGAAAAAAAAAATACATTGTATTTACTTGCTAATTAATTTAATAACTTATGAGTGAGATTTCTTGTTGTTGACCGTCTTTACCTGCCAACTACCAAGCCTCTATGCAGCAAGAGAAACCACAAGCCATGAAATACAAAAAAAAAGCAGTAGGGAGCTAAACGAAAAAGTTCCCGAAATAGAACCAAATTCATGAAACCGTTTCTTGAAACGGCCTTTCCGTGTCTTTTTCCTCTTTCCCTACGTTTCTGCTGTCTCGCAGGCGCAGCATAGCCCTTTCTCGCTCCGGCAACCATAATCCAAACCAGCGCCACGTGGGGAAACAAAAGTAAGTAACCACGCTAGTTTACCATACTCCGCAGGCGGATGTACCGTAACCGCACGGGAGCCCTCGTTGGGCGTGTGAGCGGGAGAGCTCGTACTTTAACGCGCCGGAACAACGCGTGCAGTCTAAGACCGAGTGGGCCCACCACACGGAAAAGGACGGTTCCTGAGAGCCCAGTGTCAAGGGGGGCTTCCCGTGCGGCGGAAACCCAGTTCACCACCCATACGCCGCGGGCCCACAGAATGCGAGGTGAAGCTGTGGGTGCCGGGTTTTCTTTCTGAGGATGGTGACAGATTCACCTTCGGAGGAAAAGGTTTGACTTCGGGGGCTGACGGGGCCCACCGCATTTTGCGCACTGGCGTATCGGATCCAGGTGAGAACCCGACCCGTTTGGTGCGCTGCCCCAATTAGGTAGGCGCGATACGTGTGAATGGGGGCCTTGCTGGCGTTAAAGATGACGTCAGCGTCGGAGCATGACGACAGAATAAGGTTGGTGCGTAGCGGCGACCGACACTGCCAATGAAAAGAATCTGATAGCGGGGTTAAGAAACGGCCCTTCTGGTGGGTCATGTCAAACACGTGCATGTACTTCACCGTCAAGGTCTTGTTTAGATTTTCAGACTAAGTTGTTGTCTTGGAAGGCTTATTTTTTAAGTCAGATCAGTTTTTAAACTAGCTTTTTTATTTTAATTTTTTTTATTAAAATATCAAATAAATTAGCTTATAAGTCTCATTTTAAAAAACTGATATACCTCGGTTTTAAAAAAAAACTAGCTTAAAAACTCACTTTAAATGCTAACTTGACCAAACAAATTAATATTATACTCAAACAATTTGTATAGTATTTTTATCAAAAAAACCAAGAGCCATTAAAAGCCAGTATAGCTTATAACCTTAAAATTAAGAGTTCCTTAACACCCACTAAATATCATTTATATATCGTATTGTTTCATTTACTTTTCACTTATATATTCCTAGTTGTATTTAATAGCAAGAAAATATGCTAAAAGTTTTTATACTTGCACTTAAATACGCTCATTCATTTTTTAGCACTTATATACCTAAAGTTTTTTAAATTTGGCACTTAAATACCCTAAAAATTTTAAACCTAACGCTTGAATACCATAAAGTTTTTAAAACTCGTACATTGTTGATGGTTAAATGATCAAACAATCAATATATGTGGTTGGGTGAAGTTGATGAGGGGCTGCTTCCTTCCCCGAATATCTGGTTCTGAGTTGAGCAGCTGAAGTCTGCATAAATAACAGTTCGTGAGAGGATGAGGTTTGGTTCCCATGTGGTTCCTACGACGATTAATTCATTAATGAACTTGAGTGAGAAATGAAGAACTGCTTGAGTTTTTATGTGTAGTGCAGCAAAATGTAATTCTCAGATATTGCTTAGAATAACTTAGATTCAAGACTAGAGATCAAAAGTCCCCCTCATGTATGTTAGAATAGTACCTCTATTTATACTATTAGTATAAGAGTAGAACCGTCACTTTGGCCGAGCACAGAATGGCGGTAAACAAATATGGGCTGGCGGCTGCGTCAGTACCTACTTTATAGGTGTCGGTCGGCGAGTGGAGGAGGGATCACAACAGCATTAAATGAGAATTGATCGAAGGCATGGCGGTGCCGACATGGTCCGATGAGTCATGAAGACTATATGGGCTAGAGGCATGATGACGCCTACCAAGCATTAAATGTGATGTTGACACGTTGTCAGTGGGAGAAGCTCGAGATTGAAGTCATCTTTTGGCTTGGTCAAGAAGTAATGCCTTTCGAGTCAAACCCGCAAAGTATCGAATAGCTAGTCGAGTGGGCTCGTAGCGAATCGTCTTCGACAAGAGGACCGACAAGTACCGCCCTTCGAGTCGACCCAAGAAGATGTCGATTCAGCAAGTCGGGTAAGTGGAGATCCTTGTTAGTTTTGGCCTCCAAATTGATTGGGGCATTGCATGTAGAAGTACACCCATCCATTCCTGACAAAAGGGTTGCACTTTGACGATTGAGAATACCATAACACACACAATACCCTCAATTATGCGAACTTAAAAAAGTATTTAGGTTCAACTTTTAAAAACTTTAGGGCATTTAATTGCCAGATTTAAAAACGTCAAGGTATTTAAGTGTCATAAAAAAAATAAGGGAGTAGAAGTTTAAAAAACTTTAGGGTTCTTTTTCTACCAAATACAAATTCGGGTATGTAAGCGAGAAGCATGTGAAACAATAGGGTATGTAAGTGTTATTTAGCCTAGCTTTTAATTTGTCAAAAATAATTCTAAGCTAAATACTTTATTATTTTATCAGTATTATACTTTAAATATACTAAATTATAAAAAAATATCATATAAATATTCTAAGTTGCTCGCCGTTAAAATATTATAAACATCATTAAAAAATCTGTTATTATAGGAAACACCCCTCTATAGAAATGATTGTATAATTTAAGAAAATATGGAGGGTCTACAGAACTCGCAATATCCCCATATCCTCGAGAGAAGGGGTTCCTCCTCACAAAGAGGGTCACAGCGATTAGGCTCGAGCTACGGTACGGTTTACCAAAAAACACAGGTCTTCGCATAGTCGTGAGACTATGCATGGGGCTGACACGTGCCTAGCGCCGAAAAGGTCGAGAAACTTGGCAACCTGTTGACAGGGGAGTCGACGACCGAAGCCTCGGTGAATGATGGTTGAAACTATAATGGTACTAAGGTAGCAAAATTCCTTATCGGGTAAGTTCCGACCAGCACGAAAGGTATAATGATATGGGCAATGTCTCTGAGAGAGGCTCAGTGAAATGGACATGCTTGTGAAGATGCAGACTACCTACACTTGGACAGAAAGACTCTATGAAGCTTCATTGTTCCTTGGGACTAGATTTGGGCCTTTCTTGTGTAGCTTTAGTAGAAGGACGAGAAAGTCTCCTTACGGGAAGGGCCTGTGCCATTAGTAAGATACCACTCTGAAAGAACTAGAACTTTAACCTCGTGTAAGGACCTACGGGTCAAGGGACAATCTCATGTAGATAATTTTTATGGGAACTAGGCCTCCCAGAAGGTAATAGAGGCGTGCAAAGGTTTCCTTGGGCTGGACGGAGATTGGCCCTCGAGTGCAAAGACATAATGAAGCTTGACTGTAAGATTCACTTGTCGAGCAAGGACGAAAGTTGGCCTTAGTGATTCAACGGTGCCGAGTGGAAGGGTCATTGCTTAATAGAAAAAAGTCACTCTAAGGATAACATGCTAATCTTCTCCAAGAGTTCACATCGACAATTAAGGTTTGGCACCTTAATGTCGTCTCTTCACCACTTGAGGCTATAGCATGTTTCAAGGGTTAGGCTATTCACCCATTAAAGCAGCACATGAGCTGGATTCAATGTCTTGAGATGGTTCGATCCATATCCGGTACGGGGGCTACATCATTGAGAGGGTTTTTCCCTAGTACGAGATGACTGGGAAGGATGCACCTCTAGTATATCAGTTATCGTGCCCATAATAAATGCTGGATAGCTGTTGAAAGTATCTAAGTAGCAAACCCTCTAAGTAGAAATATTATCAGGTACAATTAACAAAAAGTACTAACATGCTAGTTTTTATAACTTAGGGTTTTTAAATGCTACTTTTCATAAATTAGGCTATTAAGTTATTTTTTACAATTTTTAGGCCTCATTTGGTATAGAGGAATAGGTGGGAAAGGAATGTTCACTCCCACTTCTAATTTATACATACCAAACATGACACATTCTTTAAAAGTTAAAACGTTCATTCACATTTCTCCGATGAGCATTCCCAAATGCCTAGTTTGATATACGGTTGAGAGGGAATGAAATGCTAATTTTCACTTCTCATTCGTTTCTACCAAACACAGCATCTTTTTTAAAGCTAGAATGTCATTCGCATTTCTCATTAACCTTCACCTTATGTGGGAATGAGCATTTCCAATAAAATTGTAGGGAATGGGCATTCCCACTTAAGTGGGAATTAATGAAATACATAATTTTTGTATATGTCCATTCCCACTTCATTCTCTAAATTGCATCCATACGCGAGCATGAAAATAAGCATTCCATTTCTACATTAATTTAATCCAATTTCCTCGTACATTCCATTCCCACTTCACTCAATTCTTGCATACCATATAAGGCGAATAAGTTTATAGGGAATGAGTATTCCTACTTGAGTGAGATTTGAATAAATTAAATATCAATCAAATATGCTATAATTTCTTATTATCCATATCAAAAATAATTTTTTTTTACATTCTCACTTTTTTATCTAATGACCCAAAAAAATGAGAATGAAAAATAAGCATTCTATTCCTACGATCATTCCATTTTATTCATTGCTTCATTCGATTCTCATTGATCTGATTTTTGCATACAAAATGAGTTATGAGTATATGATGGCTTCCGGGGAAATTTCTATTATAATTATATGGTTAATTGTCGATAGAGCATGGGCAATATCATTGTTTAATAGTTGCTATCCTTTCAGTTTTGTTTTTACACATAAATCTCTAATCAAGGTCAATTTACGTAAATCATCTTATATTCAATTTATACCTAAACCACCTACGTAGTTAATTTTTCTTCTAGTCAACTACTTGACTCTACTTTCTACTTAAATTTTTATGAAATTACAACAATACCCTCACTTAATCTCATTTGGGAAGCTTGCAGAACATCACTAATAGAGGTCATGTGCTTTACATGAGTGAGAGTACTGCTGTTGAAATTTTAGGAAAAAAATTAGCAGTAAACGGAAGAAAAACTAACTTTGTAGATAATTTAAGTATAATTTTGAAATATAATATGGTTCACCCAAATTGACCCTAAGTATATGATGATTTCTAAGAAATAACCATATATAGTAAAAGAATAGAATGAGTATTGATATTAATTGTTTAGTGGCAAATGATCATTTTATCGAAGTGGATTTCTTGCTCTCCCATCACTCAAACTAGCATCGATTGAATGGATATAAAAGTGTGGTAGTTGATTTTGGTTTGGATTGTAGTGTCTTATATGCGCATATCGAAAAGAGGGAGATGTAGTTGTTAGGCCGCGTGCTCTTTTATGGTTAAGCGACCGTATGATCATATTATAACATCCATAATCAACATGACGGTTCCAAAATTTTGTTCTCGTATTGCAAGAACCTTAGGCTATGTTTGGCTAGCTCTTCAAAACTGGGTCAAGGCTGATCCCGGTCTAGTTTTTGAGTTTAACCATTATTATTATTATTATTTTTTGAGAAAAATGATTGATTACCAAAATAGTAATCCAGCCAGCTAAATTAAACAAAATTGGTTGTTACAAAATAATACGCATCCCCAACCAAGAATGTGTACACTAAATCAGCTATGATTTACAATAAACCGCACCGGTTCCCCTCCCCTGCTATCATCTATCAACTAAACCATTACTATTTCAATTTAGGTTAGGGGTAGGCGGGTCAAAATGGAGGCCTCGGAGGCCTTTTTCGATTCGGAAAAATTACAAGGCGGGTGCGCTTGACCCGCATTTTGGCATCGTAGTCCAGATTCAGGAACTCCTTAGCAGAGATTGGCTTCGCCGGATGAGACGATTGCACAGCGAGATGGCGACCGTCGCGGTGACCGGATGGCTACGGAGGCGGCTGGCAAGAGTCATGCGCTAAATTGTGAGCATGGGAGCTACTTGCTTTAATGCGAGTATTTGACTTGGGAAGGCTCGATCGGAGTTCTCCCAAAAGATATCAGTTCTAAATCTAAATCTTGGCCCAACTAGCATTTCTCATTGCTAATTGATTACTGGGTCTGCAGAGCTGGGCCAGAATCTTTATCTACAGTTTGATTTTTATATCGTGGAAGATAATATACCTAAATACACACAGCCCAAGAGCCCAGGGCCACTATAAAGCAAACTTGGTCAACCCAGTAAACACCGACACAGGGACATGGTACACCCACTGGGCCCCGCTGCTAATGTTGACCGCTCATGCGTAGCACGTGCATACCTTCCGAGTTTCAACCCCTCGCGCTTGGCGCACTTCTACTCTTTGGTTGGTTTCCTAAAATCAAAGAAAAGTAAATACTAACTCAGAAATCATTAAAAGTTGATTTCCATTTATTTCTATCCTTAAAAATTACCCGCATCATCTAATAATATGGTGATAACTCATCTCATTTCATCTCCTTTCTTACTTTTAAGAATGAACCAAGCACAAGAAATGAGTCACGTCATCCATCTCATCTTATCTCATCTCATCTCATATTTAAAAATGAGTCACACCATCCAATAATATGGTGACAACTCATCACATCTCATTAAAATTTGATTTCCATCCATTTCCTAAAAATTAAAAAATTAAAAAATGTATTTCCCTAAATATGAGTCACAGCATCTAATAATATAATGACAACACATCTCATCTCATCTCTTTTCTTAGTTTTAAGAATGAACCAAACACAAGAAAAGAACCTATTATAAAAAATAAATTTCTTATTTTTTAGCCAACCAAACAACCTCAAAACAAGTCATGAAATTTATTTCTTAAAATATCACTCATATCATCCAATAATACGATAACTTATCTTATCTTCTTTTTCCCTTTAAAAGAGTAAACCAAACAGAAAAAAAGAACCAGTTATAGAAAATATATTCTTTTCTTTGATTTGCTTTTTTTAGCCAACCTAATAATAACAACATTAAAATATCATTATTATCATCAACGACGATAGTTAGGGCATCGACGTCGAAATTTCTCTCTCTCTCTCTCTCTTCTCTCTCTCTCTCTCTCTCTCTCTCCATTTGCGATCCCTCTGTTTTTTGGTTCTTTTTTCTTGAATTTGTTTGCTTTTGAATCTGAAGTTAGTTAGGGTTTGGGTTTCTGAAATCATCATCGATGGGTTCTTCGAGATCTGGACTCTTTCAGTTTGGTTTCATTCTCTTCATCCTCTTCGTCTCTGCATCGTCTCAGGTGAAATCTCCTTTTTTTTAATAAAATTTCCGAAGTAAGCAAGAATTTTTGATGGATCTCGATTGGTTCTGTTAGGAATTAGGGCTGGAGAGCGCTGAGAATGCTTCAGATGAGTCGACGAGACCTTTAGATCGGCGCACTAAGGTCAGAGGATTCGCCATTTATTCATTTTTAGGGTTAATTGCACTTTAATACCCTAAAGTTTAATGGAATTTGAACTTGGACAGTGTGAAGTTTTAAAATTGGCCAAATAATTCCCCGTACGTTCGCCACTTTTAACTTCAATAGCTTTTGCTATATCGTTGTCTTTAATTTGGCCGGCTGAATATTTTTTTTAATAGTAGTGAGGTGTTTTTGCTAAGTCATTTGTGTTTGAAAGTGAAGAGATTGGTTAATGGTTATCATGTAATCATAATCAGAATTTTCTAATATTACCATGTTATTTGTTTCAAACAGAATTCTGAATGGTGATGTAACGGAAGGTATTAAAACTAAAGCTGTTGAAACTTTTTTTTTGGGGAAAATTAAAGTTTGATGGTATCAAGTTAAAGATTAGTGAAACCTAGGGTAGTGAATTACGATTAGCCTACATTGTCTTTTTTTCTTCTTCTAATTTTTCTTGTAAATAGATGTTTGTGCACGCGGTGAAGACAGTTACTGAGGATGGAGAAGGCGTCTTTGCTTTGGGAGAAGCTGGTCCTGGGCTTCTTGACGCCTTCTTTGCAAGTTTATCAATGATTCTAGTCAGTGAGGTCAGCCTCAAAATAAATTTTCGTTGATGATTATAGTTGATTTATATACAATGTGGATGTTCTTATTGTTGTTTTGTGCTCCAGATTGGGGACGAGACATTTATAATTGCAGCTCTTTTGGCAATGCGACACCCGAAATCTATTGTTTTGTCTGGTGCGCTTGCTGCCCTCGTTGTGATGACAGTGAGATCTCTAAACAGATGTCCAAAATTTCCCCCTTTTGGCAATAAAACATTGAGGGAACTGAAAGGGAGCTTTTAAGTATTGTCCGATTTATACTTTTTCCCCTCTTGCAATTTGATGAGCATAGTCTTGTTCATCATAAGAATTCGTATTTTTGATTATACAATTATCTCATTGGATGAAAAATGTGTAGTGTTTTCTTTTAGCCATTGGATGAAACTGATTCATGCTATGATTATGTCTAGGTACTGTCTACTGGGTTAGGTAGGATTGTACCAAATTTGATATCAAGGAAGCACACTAACAGTGCAGCTACAGGTACTCAATTGTTTACTATCTTAAATTACATGACATAATCCAATGTAATATGGTGATTGTATCGAGTTGATTATTTGGTTGTCTTAATTTTTTTTTTGTTGAACCTGATCTACTGCCTACATTACATATTGAAATGTTCTTGTTTTCTTCCTTTCAAAGACATGCAATACAAGTAATAATTTAATTTTGGGTGCTACGGATCTTAGCTTCGTGCCCTCTAGGATCAGAAATCCTGACAGGAGAAACTAGAAATTGTAAAGAACACGCCCTCATAAATCTTCATTTCTTTTCATACATTTACTATATTATTCAGCTGATGGAGCAATTTTGGCGGAGCAAATTAGTTGGTGTATCAAGCCTCTCCGTTTTTTCATGTTTATTTGTGATCACGTTTGAGTGGGTTGAAATTTATAGGTGGACCTAGACCTGCATGAAATCAACCAATGATCAACTTCATCCATGTGGTCCCTTGTGTTTGGAGCTTCCCTAAATCAACCATAGATTGGTATTGTAAAATGGTAACAAAACTGCATGTTAAGATGCAAGTGGAATACCACTTAAAATTATTCTTGCTTTAGCTTGTGTTTTTTTTTTTGGGGGGTGGTTGGGGTGGGGTGGGGATGAATCATGCAAAATTCAGTTGCTCTATTTGGCAGTAAGTTTGAGCCTAGATAAGAAACTATCAGTTAGCTAGGAAGAACCTAATATAGGCTGCTAAAATGTGGAACATGAGTAGTGTGATAAATAATAAGTTATTTGTTAAAAGCAACCACAGCATCTAGTAACTCATGCAAGAAACATGCGCTAATAATTAGTTAAATGAGTCAGTCAAGTCTTAGAACCCGTGGGAAATTTGCCTGTATGATACGCATGTGGTGCATAACTAAATGGGACAGCTGCATATGCTCTTGGTTTGTAACGTGCCGCACACAGTGGATTTGATATGATCAAGGATTCAAGGGCTAATAACTATATATTTTGTGGTTTGAGGCTTTGAGCACCACTAGGAACTGTTCACATCACGCTGATGATATTAGGTGTAGTACCTGAACTGCTTTGCTAAAATTCTTTATATGTTTATATAAAGCTTTCTGATTTTCTCCATTTCAGATAAACTAAAGATTTTAATGGGAAAATATGGATAATGTTCTAATCAATATGTTCTTAATCTCTTATACATAACAGTTGAAGAAAACTGGTCTTCATCTCTTAATGGTTACCAATTGAAGATAACTGGTCTTATACATTTCCTTTATAAATTATTTGTTCACAGTTCTCTATGCATTCTTTGGCCTCCGACTGCTGTACATTGCTTGGCGATCTGATTCCAAAGCTTCACAAAAGAAGGAAATGGAAGAGGTATATAACTCCTACATATCAGATGTAGAATTCTTTGTCAAGATTTCCTGTCAATAATTATTAGGCAGTTAACTGGTGTATAAATCGTTATACTTGCCTTTATTTCCTTTCATTGTTTCTGCAGCATATTCGAACTTTTTGAGAATTTGTTTTGATGTAGTTCTTTGGCTTATTGTGGCGTAGTGATGTATCATGTGCGCAACTGGTATGACAAGTTGTATCTTATGCATTGGTGTAGATTCTTTCATGATCTAGGGAATTTTGAGGTTTTGTTTGTTGTGTGCATGAGGGGAATGTTCAGTTCATTGCAAATTGCAACTTCAACTACAGTTACAATTTAAAAAAGACATCGGTTGTAGTTGCAATCGTATCGTGAGAAGTGTTGTGGTTGTGGTTTATCTTAACATCTGTACGTTCATTCTCCTCATTCTCATCAATGTTAAAGAGGCTAAATAATTATCTTGACCATTGATGTCTTTTAAGTCTATCCCTAAAGCCATATTGCTCCAAGAAACCCTGATGTTCAATGTACTTACAGTATACTATGCTTCATTACTTTCTTAAATTATTTGTGGGATATCTGTAAATGATTTCTAGATGCATGAATTTTGATGACCATATATTATCACAGGTGGAAGAAAAGCTTGAGACAGGACAAGGAAAATCGACATATCGACGTTTTCTTTCTAGATTTTGTACACCAATATTCTTAGAGGTATGATACCTTTTCCCTGGTATAGTTGCGTTATCCTTGGAGAATCTCATGTGGTAGAACAGACGGACAAACCTCATACCTGAAACTATATTGAAAAAAAAAAATTTATACTGCATTTCTTCTTTGGTAATTTGGGTTGATCCATTGTAAAATTTATGGAAGTATCGGTTTCTGTTTGTTGTTGTAATGAAACTCATGTCCTTATACAGTCATTTATTTTGACCTTCTTGGCTGAATGGGGCGATCGTAGCCAGATAGCAACAATTGCGGTAACTACTCAACTCTTCCTAATTAACTAACACTGTTTCAGATACAAAATATTGGGTTTGATTTACAAATTTAATTTACAACTGGTAGTTCTGTTTTTGATGCAGCTGGCGACCCACAAGAACGCAGTCGGAGTTGCAGTAGGAGCAACATTAGGGCACACAATATGCACGTCGCTTGCGGTGATTGGAGGTAGCATGTTGGCCTCCAAGATCTCGCAAGGCACTGTGGCGACCATCGGTGGCTTGCTGTTCCTAGGGTTTTCCTTGTCTTCTTACCTCTATCCTCCATTGTGATGATTGATTATTGTATGGGAGCTGCTTTGTTCTGTGTTTGTATCACTCAGCTCAGCATCATTCTTTTGTTGTATCAACACATGCTTACAAGAGTATAGTTCGAATCTCAACCTGTCTGTTAATTGTTCCACTGATTGCTTGCGCGCTCACTCTTTTTCTCGTATTTCATCAATTGTGAGCTGCAGATTGTAAAAGTCCTTTTTGTTACTGAATGACCCTTTAAAGTGACGCTAGTCTTCGGTATTTTTCCCCCCGTAGTTTTAAGAGGGGTAAATAACAGGTAAAATCACAATAATCCTTTTTTTTTTCATTCTTTTTGTGTTTAAGATGTTTAAATTGCATATGAACTTTCTCTTGTATACCTCAGTAGCAGTTGTCACCCCTTGACAATTTTTGATACGACAATGCTAAATTCATGAGGGAAGAGGATTATATGCGATTTATTTTTCTTAAAAAAAATGAGATTTTTTAAGTGCTAATAAAATACTTATGCTACATATAACGTCACATGTTTTAAACATGTCATAACTAATTTCTAGCAATGATTTTC